TCTTTCTTTCTTTCTTTCTTTCTTTCTTTCTTTCTTTCTTTCTTTCTTTCTTTCTTTCTTTCTTTCTTTCTTTCTTTCTTTCACCCGATTCAGTGGGATCCAAACAATTCCAAAAACATCATACTCTATATTAGACAAACATTATCAGAGATACCAAATACCTTGATTAATAATCCCCTGATACCAATATAGGGGTACTTTATTATTAGTTGAGTCAGTGGTACTCATTTCCCCCTCTCATTCCGTCYATGAGGTAACATCTCCATCTTTTCGTACAAGTGAAAACCACAAATGCGTCCCCTGTCAACGTCCTACATCATGACCGACACACACTTGCTTCCGCTAGCTGAATTACCTTCAACTTGGTAAGAATTATACTTAGGTGTTTATTCAAGCTACGAAAGAAGTGTTGGCACATGTTTTAGYGTATTATTTGGTATTATTGCTGACCTTTGAGTCTACAAGCGTCAACGCGTTATTAGGCAATCAGGTTCGCAAATGGTCATGGTACGGACAGGAACAATGTGGACTAAGGAATGTACGGAACCCTTTAAAGTGAAAAACTCATATAAAAACTTCTCATTAACCTCAGGACAACATGTGGGCTGATAAAAGCCACGGCACTAAATCGAGGYGTTTTATGTTTTGTGAAGGATGGAAATAAAGCACGACAACCCGGCTTTCCCGTATGGTCGAGCAGATTTGCGCGCAAATCTATTTGCCAGGGCATTGCTACATGTCCACGAAGGAAGATGGCAAAAATAATCGGGTTCCTTCCTTCCTTCCTTCCTTCCGTCCTTCCTTCATTTGTTTATTCATTTTTTCCTTTCTTTCTTATTTCATTCCTTCCTTCCTTCCTCTTCCTCTTCCTTTCCTTGTATATTGTTTTACATGTTTTACATTCATTTCTAYCTTGTAACTTTAACAAAACCACGCGCACAGATACTCCAGACTCCATATTCCTTATTCAATGCTTTTATTTCACCGACTATCCAAAGACGCGAACGAGCTTGTTCAAAAATTGATTACATAAGAACACGTGCCGAGTGACTTTAAATACCACAGTATCGATTAATCAAATTATCCACATATTTTAAACACAAAATATACCAATATATACTAGCTCTATATCCTTCACAAATTTACRATTCAAACTTAGTCATTCTTTAATCTTTTGATGCATATTTCTATTCCGGGTATTTTTTTGTACATTAAGCTTTTTAAATTCCCTTGTGGATTCGAAATTTGCTCTTTTTTACTTTACATTATGGACCTGCAATGCCTATCGGGAAATACCATATACGTCATGTAAGGAGATTTACAAGTTAATCAGAAATATGATCAAAAAACAAGAATGGATCTTTTTGAATTTAATTTTCTGCTCTCTTGTGCAATATCTAACTCACYAGGGTGCCAGCAAAACTGATCCATTAATGAAATAACCCAAAAACTTAAACGATTCTTTTAATATTTGTAGATAGTCATTGCATAGTCACGTGGCTAAATTCTTTGCTAKCTAGTTCGGGGGTAGGGGAAAAGCAAACTCTTGCTAGGGCCGGGGGGTTCTAGCTTCTTTATCTCAGAACTTTGGCTAGCATACTTTATCCCAAAATTTTATGAAAACAAAAGGGTMTACCTAATATCATTTTTTATCTTTTCGCTACATTATTTTCCACTATTTTTTCACTGTAAGATTTTGACCTTGCRCATTCTTTTAGCCATCAGGGCCCGGTTGTACGAAGCCTGGRYAGCGCTATCCGGCGGATAAATCCTTATYCAKTGGATAAGTTGATGCTGTTATCCAATAAATTTATCCACTGGATAAGATTTATCCGTCGGATAGTGCTATCCAGGCTTCGTACAACCGGGCCCAGTTAGGTGCTGATGGCATACTCTCTAAGCATCTCTACCCTCCCTGAATATYTTAATCACGTATAGCCAATGCTGTTGAGTGGAATCTGTCCTACCTACGTAGGACCTATAGCCAAGCGTGCAGCTGATAAGGTCGATATCAAGTATATAGCGATATTAGATAACATATCTCATTACTTGAGTATAAAAGAGATGCGATTGTGTAAAGTTGTCCAGTCCAAGTGGATATAGCCATAATAATAACATCGGCTTAACCATCTCAATTTCTTCTGATATTTTCATTTAACYACTTGTACGTGGAAGGAGTGAGGTGTACTATAAAAACGTTGGAAGGCAGCTGCAGAATCGTACAAAAATGCCTGGCAACCAAAATCAAGATCGAATGGGTAGTTCGCAGTTGCTTGGCTTTCCAGCAGACYCTCCTCGCATCACGATCATGCACACTAAGCACGAAATTCTGTTCGAGTATAGTGTCATCACCGTCGTCTTTGGATGCTTTTTGTTCCTCAGCATTTGCAAAAATCTTCTCTCTCAGCAATTTCCTGGCCAAACTATACATCAGTAACTGGAATATGAACGTAAAGTCTAGTTTATGCAGGACGCATTTGGCGTCAGCTCAAGTAGATTCTTTGGAAACATTTCACGCCGCTATGCCACGAGCACTTAAARAGTCGTTTTCGAAAATTGGACACCTCATGTAAAGTTCCATCCGGATTATCAGCARGTGTTGAAAACGCATGTGAAAAGCTTGTCAAAGTAGAAGATAAGGAGCAAAATATTTTTTAAGTCAAGACGTTGGCGACCGGCTTTTAAATTTCTTCTTCAATGAAATTCTGAAGAAAAAGAAGAAGAAGAAGAAGAAAAGCAAAGTGAATGAAAAAAACGAAGAAAAAAGTAGAGATCTGATTAACAAGGTGTGCAAAAATGCGCTCAAGAAGATTTCTCAATGACACCTAGCATATCAGAAAATTAAGGACTGAAAGCTAGGTCTGCACTGTAGTAGGTCTTCAGGCGCGTGGTTGAAAGACATACCCAGGGCCTGCTGCCCTAGGAAAAAGGGCGATCGGAACTCAGTTCTTAAATATCACGAACTTCATCTCTAGACTTATACAAACTAGCAATAGATCGTGTGTATTTTTTTCAGTTCTAATACTGTTAATTTTTCAGATTTTCTAAAAAAAAGTTAACGTTGTGAATGTCTTAAAAATGACAGTGGATGGAAAATAAGTGTGTGACTTCTTTATGCACGATGGTGSCTCTATTAAATGGTTTATTGATACTATTTCTTCGAATTTTTATTTAGTTTTATTTAATTGTTTATGAATTCGTTTGAAAAAATGTTAAGAAAACGTGACTTGAAACAAAACAAAAGCAAACAARAAACTAATTGGTGTGGAATAGACCGTGGAATTTGGAAAGAACCTCTGGGTAAGTCTAAGTCAGTTCAAGGGTAAATCACAGACCTCACGTATCCCATGAATTGGGATTCAGAGGTTCAAATGAGCATTTTTTGCCCAAAGAGGACATCTGGTACCAAAGGAGAAAACTTTCTCCAATATTCGTCAAATGAGATGCCAAGTCCAAGATTTGTGCAAGTGGTTTGCTATCACTACACCGCCCTTTGAGGTTAATACGCATTGCATGAGGTCGAACTTTACATCAATATAAGATTGAATGCCGTCACATAAATACCGCCCTAACAGCGCTAGACACTAGGTCAAACAAGAAAAATTAATCCTGAGATTGCTTRAAACCCGCAAAAGTGAAGTGAGGTTGACCTTTTCTTCGTTCTTTAAATAGAAAACATTTTTGCTAAGGAAAGGAAAKACAGTTCGGGCGAGCTTTTGAAGGAATGCATGATTTGGATAAGAAAAAGGCGTTTGGTTGTCTAGAAGGGTTAGATTTTAAAACTGAAGGGGCGTTTGGTAAGATTTAAATGATAGTCTATATAGACCATTTGCAGTAAATTCCCACTTGGGGACCAAAAGACAATAAAGAACTAATAGCAAAAAGATTTTCCAGTCCTCCGAAGAAGGGAAATTTTTCATCTTRAACCCCACATTGGTGATTGATTAATGCGAGGCATTATAAGCTAGGCTAGCTAGACATCTTAACTCTTAGACTTTAGTGGAATAAAACAGTAAAGATACCTGGAAAATACGAGGCTTCAAGACTGGGAAAAAACTGGGTCGAGTTGGCTGTGCAGTAATGTGGCACTAATCGGTAGATCGCCATCTTGAAAACAGACCCACAATACACTGCAAAGCCAACTTGGCTAACTACAAGAGAAAATGAACTAAGAGAAGGAATCTCCGTGCCCCATCATGTGCACACTTTGATGCTATTTTTAGAATCATTGATGCTATTTTTAACTCGTTACCATGCCCGCGCGATAATCATGCTTCCTTTTAATGACTCGTTTTAGGACACGAAAGGCGCCAAAAACACAGGCTTTTGTTTACTGCAAGACTAGAAGCCGCCTACCCTCCAGAAATCAACCAATCAGGTTCTT